CAACCCATAGGAAATGATCACAGAGAGCATATTCAAGGAGTTGGGCACAGCATGAGCAAAAACAGAGCTGGGTGTTGATAACCACATCTATGGCATAAGAAGACACTGACTTGGCTGGAGGAGAGGGCTTCAGTTAGGCAAGGCCTATGTGGTAGAGAAGCTAGGAGCTAGGGCAGGGGTGGGCAAACTTTTTGACTCGAGGGCCACAATGGGTTCTTAAACTGGACCGGAGGGCCGGAACAAAAGCATGGATGGAGTGTTTGTGTGAACTAATATAAATTCAAAGTAAACATCATTACATAAAAGGGTACGGTCTTTTTTTTTTTTTAGTTTTATTCATTTCAAACGGGCCGGATCTGGCCCGCGGGCCATAGTTTGCCCACGGCTGGGCTAGGGTGTCTACTTCACATGGTAGGTAGTGGGAAACCACTGTAGGGTCTTCAGCGGGGATGGGACATGATGAAAGTGTTTGAAAACAGACAGCATTATACATTCTCTCAACTGGATTGAAGAAAAGATAGATGAAAGGTGGTAAATACTTTTCTAGATTAAGGCAATTTTTTGAAGAAGGTAAATTATAAAGGGGGGAAACGATCTGGATTCATGGAAGGAAAAACCCAATTACACTTTCCAAAATTAGGATGAATAATATTATTCCATAACTGCTTATATATATTTTTATAATTTTTTAATTTTTCAATTACAGTTGACATACAATATATTAGTTTCAGGTGTAGAACATAGTGATTGAACATCTATATAACTTATGAAGTGATCACCTTGACAAGTCTAGTACCCATTTGGAGCCATACATAGTTATTACAATACTAGTGGCCCAGTGTACGAAATTTGTGCACCAGGTCAGGGGGAGGTTCCCTCAGCCCAGCCTGCACCTTCTCCAATCGGGGACCCCTTGGGGGATCCTAAACTGGCAGTCGGACATCCCTCTCACAATCTAGGACCACTGGCTCCCAATCGCTCACCTGTTTGCCTGCCTGCCTGATTGCCCCTAACCCCTTTGCCTGCCTGCCTGATCACCCCTAACCTCTCTGCTTGCCTGCCTGATTGCCCCTAATGCCTCTGCCTGCCTGCCTGATTGCCCCTAACTGCCCTCCCCTGCAGGCCTGATCTTGCCCCCAATAGCCCTCCCCTGCTGGCCTGATCGCCCCTAACTGCCTCTGCCTCGGCCCCCACCACCATGGCTTTGTCCGGAAGGAAGTCAGATGTCCGGAAGATGGCCGGTCGACCCGGTTTAATTAGCATATTACCCTTTTATTAGTATAGATTATTGACTATACTCCCTATGCTGTACCATGACTTCTTATTTTCCTGGCTGTGATATACCTTTTATTAGTAGATAAGTTGTACCAATGGTTTGAAATGCTGCAAGTTAGTAATATCTAAAGATGAGAACACAACTTCTGAAAGAGCTTTTGGCAACAGAATGGGGGTGGGGCGGGGACTGTTCTGTCATACTGATTGTACCCTGAGAAATCTTCAGTCATTCCTATTATTAAAAGGGCCCTATTGAGAAGATGATATTAAGAGATTTACATTAAGAGCAGAAGAGAATGTTAATCTCTGGGAAGAATATAAGAGTCAGGACAATGAGAAGTAGATTAAAGAATGTTAGGGTTGTTTTTTTTGTTAAGATTTGTTAGGTGAGGAGATGTGTTCCTGACATTGGCCTTGCCTAGGAAGTCAGTTTCTCTGATTTCCCTTTCAGGTATAGTCTTATGAAATCCTGCTGGCGCTGGAAAGAGGACAGACGCCCTTCAGTTAGAGAATTATGCTCACGCCTAGAAACTGCCTCTCGAACTGCAGATGACAAAGCTGTGTTGCAGGTACCAGAGTTGGTGGTGCCTGAACTGTATGCAGCTGTGGCAGGCATCGGTGTAAAGAGCCTCTCCTACAGCTACAGCGTCCTTTGAAGATCCTGGGGCAAGAAACATTTATGTGTGATCATATACCCTTGGAATTCCTCTAAGAAGAGAGGATGGACTTTCTAGTGGGACATAAAGGAAGAAGTGGGACATGGAGCTGGATCTCCCCCTACATGTTTTCCTAGATATGTGAGATGATGCTGGGTGAGACTCACCACACCAGAGCAGAGAAAAACAGTTTCATTTATGTTGTCCCAATCCTAAAGAGTCAGGGTAGAAGTGGTAGATAATGTCACTGCAAAGGAGGTTTTATAAATCTGAAAAAAAATATTTTTGCAGGGGGGCATGGCACAAATAAGCTGCTACATCCTACCACTGGCTAGTTTCCTCCTGAAACATGCTTTTATCTAGACTATTATAAGGTCCAGAGAAATTAGAATCAAATGAGGAAATAGCCCCAAAAGGAATTGATGAGAAAGAAAATTAAAGGTCCTATTTGCTCAGGGATATAGATGTGAACCAAGGTCATCCTTCAAAGAGAAGGTGGAGGGAAGACATAAAGTTCCACAGTAATGACCCCTTCATGCAGAGCTAGAGGAGAACCATGAAGGAAGATTTCCGAGTTTCCCCTGGGTACAGGTAAGAGAAATATGGTCCCCTTTTATCTAATGCTGAGACAAGTAAACTCTGTTTATACTATTTTTAACCAGAGGATGGAGTGGTCATTTTATGGTTAAGAACATTCAATATATATTGTTGACCAGGCTTGCTTCCTGGTCCCTATAAGATTAAGGAGACTGAGCCTAGAGTCAGTTAGGAACATGAATAATATACTGTGTATGTTTAATAAATATGAAAGGTGGAAACCAAGTAAGAATACGTAGTAGGCCAGGTCTTTATCAAGGCCTCGCAAAGTATATCCAAGACAGAAGGATAATAGTTTCTGATTTCAATTATCCATTGATTCTGTGAAACTTATTCCATTAAATTAATATTTATTGAGTGAAAGTAGGCTCTTCAGATATACAACTGCCAGAATCTCTATAGTAGGAAGGATAGAAGTGAATGGAAGATAGAAAAATTAAATAGATAATCTACATTGTCTGAAAAAGGATGAAATGGGTATAATACTTACCTCACAGGGTTGTTGTGAGGACTGAAGGAGAATAAATATTTGTATGATATCTGGCACATAATGTATGCTCAATAAATGTTAGTTTCCTTTCTTTCCCCTTCCTATTCTAGAATCTTTCCTATCTTTTTCTTTTAAGATCTACTGTAGCCAAGAAGAAAACCTTGGTCATCAGTCATGCTGATGTAGGACATGTGGTCAATTACCATATGACTAAAATGTTGAAGTCATCATTTTTGTGTGAACTTCTGGATGATGATAGTAATCTCCTACTACTGCAAAATAATGAAAACATCACGATGATAACAATTCAGTTGAACGTGTGATCTGTGATTTTAAAGAATGCTCACTCTGGGTACTCTGGAAAGGACATCTAAGGAAAGATGACTGGCTGTCGAAAATTTTGTAGAAGTTAGAATCCTGATGGCGTCATGATGAATCATCAAACTAAATAATGATTTTTGCATATGTAGGGATACCACAATGACTAGTCAGAATTTAAATTAAGTGGCAGTAGAGAGAAGGAAGGTTGAGTGGCTTGGTACTAAATAATAAAGTCTTATGGAAACTCATCATTGCCTCTAGGTTCTTCATTTAAGTCAAATTTACACAAGATTTCTTTAATCATTCAAATATATGTAAATATTTTAAGTTGAGTGTTAAGGACAACACTGCTAAAACATGGTACTAGGTGATGAATAAAAGAAATAGCTTTCGATTACAGTCTGGAAAGTAAGATACATTATATACATATTTGTGAGAGAATTCTTAAATTACACATTGTGTTAAGTGCTATGAAGAAACAGAGACCCAGCCTATGTGGCTCAGTTAGTTGAGCATTGGCCCATGCACCGGAGGTCACCAGTTCTATTCTGGGCAGGTCACAGGCCTGGGTTACCAGCTCAGGTGAGGAGGAAGCCGATTCCCACTGATGTTTTTCTCTCTCTCTCTTCCTCTCTCTGAAATCAATAAAAACATTTTTTTAAAGAAACAAATAGGATAGAGGGGAATATAAAATGGGGAGCTCCCTGAAGATATGTTGTTTAAATTGAGACCTTATTTTCCATCATCGTATTTGATCCTCTCAATAGTTCCATGAGCTTGGCAACGTTGACTGCAGTATAATCATTTGGTTTAAGAACAAACAGGCTTAGAGACAGTGACTTAACCGAGGTTAGGTAGAGGGAAGTGTTGGGAATGAATCTCAGGTCTTCTGTCACTCATTTTACTAAATCCCTCTGAAAGTCAAAGGTCATCAATAGACAGGATTACTCTGGGTGTTGGTAAAGGATGATCAATATTGTTTGAAATATAGACTGTAAAAGCTCGTCTTGTCTTTCCCCGACCTTCAAAGCCCATCCCACACTGTCACTGCCACAGCTCCCCAGGCCGCTAAAGATGGGCCCTTCCTGAATGAAGGAAGTTTTCCTATTAAAAGGAACTGTTTTCATACTATGTCGGGATTTTTAGTTTCAATGTGCTTTCAAAATTTCAGACCCTTTGTTTGAGACCTGCCTGCCTGCCTGATCGCCCCTAACTGCTGCGATTTTGGGATTCTTTGTCTCTATTATTTATAGGCTCCAAGTTGCCCGATGACTCACGTTGTCCAAAGGGAGATCCCTGTTTTAGGTAGAAATGCAGCAGGAAAGGGGTCGTATCCAGGCCTTACAATCCGATTTCGGGCTTTAGCTTTACTCATGCCACCAGTTAACAGGGAAAGGCCACGCCCCACTCACAAAACGCCCCAGCACCCGACAAGGAAATCCGACGTGCGATCCTTTGTTCCCGGCCCATAAAAATGCTGTCATTTGCTCACCCTTCTGTGCTTTGGGCAATATAATGTGATTCACGTAATTTTGAAAATAACTTGCTTCTGTCCCCACTAACGCGAAGCTGAGCTACCCGCTCCGGTGCAGTCAGGTCCCTCCCGCCACAGGCAGCCCGACCCCGGGGGCCGGCGAGGCGCGCCCGCAGTGACGCGTTATCCTGGGCGCTGACGTCACTGCCAGGCGCCCGGCGGCACGTTGGCCGAGGCTACGGCGGGCTTTCTGCGAGGAAAATGGCTATGGCCAGCGATTTCTACCTGCGCTACTATGTAGGGCACAAGGGCAAGTTCGGACACGAGTTTCTGGAGTTCGAGTTCCGGCCGGACGGTGAGCGGACGAGCGGCCGCCCCGCGGCCCCCTGCGCGGCGCCGACTCGTGAAGCGGGCGAAGAGCCCGCGGGGAGGCGGGGCGGGGCGGGGCGGGTGTGCGAGCGAACCCGGGGGCTGGGCCCGTGTCGTAGGAGCTGGGGAATACAGGAGGCGTACATTGGTTTTGAGATAACAGAGAATTAATCGGTGTGAACTCATCCGGACAGGCTAGTCCCGGCCGAGGCGACCTGCAGTTGAACCTACGGTAATGGGCATCCCGAGTCGGCTCGCCGGGAAGGGCCTCCGGGGCATCTGGTTTGTCCACCTCATGCGTGAGCATTTGTAAGAACATCCCAACGTGCAGTGGTCCCGTGGATGCTTCAGATGCTCCGTTGGCTAGTAATCTTTGGGCGACCCATTCATTCATCTTATTCATTCCGGCGCCATGAGTGCGTGTCTAGGAAAAAAGACTGAGCCCCGCCCTGAAGGGGAGGAGCCCAGCCTGTGGAAAGATGCGCGTAATGACGTGTTTTGGGGTCTTTCACATAGGATGCATTCAGAGGGCAAAAAAGGGGAGTGGTTAGTTCCATCAGAAGGCGTAAGGAAAGCTTCCCAGAGAAGGTGACAGCTGAAATGACTCTTGAAATAGGTATTTTCTTAGCTTCTGCAGGGGAGGGGGGCCGGGCGGGAGGGAGACGGCTGTATGAGCAAAGGGCGAGGTAAAACTGCCTATGCCCATAAGGCATGCAGCACATCTTACCTTTTGACGTCTCTGATTCTTTTTAGCGAGTGTTATTGTATATTGAACCCTTCTTCTTGCAACAAGGACAGTCCAGCTGCATAGACTTCTCTTTTTTGAATGCCTATTATGTGTTGGGCAGCATGTAAATACAAAAATGAGGGAACAGTAATGAACAAGACTCTTTCATTTCCCGCGAGGAATTATGTCTTGGTGGGCGGGACAGACATGACTCAGGCCATACATCAGTATGGATGTTAAGTGCTCATGTTTTGGACAAAGTTCCGTGAGGGTATGAAAGACACATTAGGGGAGGATCACATATTAGGAAAGGGGAAGAGGGTCAGGCACTTTAGGCAGAACTCATGGTCAGGACAACCCTGCAATGATTTAGAAACTGTAATCACCGTATTCGCCCTATGTTTCTTCTACATTTAGCGAAGGAGCCAATTTATATGAATTCTCGATCCTTTTTTTATGTGATACTGTTTTCAGTGCCTTTGCCTATGAGTAGTTTTCAGCTTGTCCATATCTCTTTTAGTAACATAAATTAAGTAGTCTAATGTTATTAGGGAAATTTCATGCCAGAATAGTGGTTCTCATCTATTTATCTACCACCACAACATCCACACACTTCCATCAAAAAGAGTGAGTCACAAACCAGTGATTCCTACGGGGCTCACCTCATTAGGTTTACCTAGCATTTTATTTTAATTTTACCTATCACTGTATTTTATTTTTATTTATTTATTAAATATATTTTTATTGATTTCAGAGAGGAAGGGAGAAGAAGAGAGATAGAAACATCAATGATGAGAGAATCATCATTGATTGGCTGCCTCCTGCACTGCCCCCTACTGGGGATCAGCCGAACCTGGGCAGGTGCCCTGACAGGGTATCCAACCATGACCTCCTAGTTCAGTGGTGGGCAAACGCATTAGTCAACAGAGCCAAATATCAACAGTACAATGATTGAAGTTTCTTTTGAGAGCCAGATTTTTTAAACTTAAACTATATAGGTAGGTACATTGTTATTAACTTAATTAGGGTACTCCTAAGCTGGCCTTTGCTAAAAACGTCCTCAATCTGATTGAGGTAAGTTCGCTGAGGTCGACCCCTTCCAACTCTCCCATCCACACTCGTCTTGTAGCCAGTCTCACTCAACTCGTGCATGAATCGCGCGCGCCTCCCCTGCCCTGCGTGGCCCGCCTGTGCCATGTCTCCGGTTGCCCGACCTACCGATACCCCCCACTTCTTCTAACGCCACTTCTTCAAAATAGACTTGCCCAGGCCGAAAACCAACTTCTGCGCATGGGCCACGAAGTTTCCATCGCACTGTACATGCGTGCCCACACGTGGTATTTTGTGGAAGAGCCACACTCAAGGGGCCAAAGAGCCACATGTGGCTCGGGAGCCGCAGTTTGCCGACCACTGTCCTAGTTCATAGGTCCACGCTCAACCACAGAGCGGCACCTGCCGGGCTTTACCTTTCATTTTAAAGGATCAGGACCACATTACATGTTTACCTGGGTAACTGACTAGCCATGAGGAGAAGCATGCATCAGGGAGTACAAGTCATGATGGATTAAAATTAAATATAGATCAGCTAACAAACCGACGGACTTTTATCGAGGAGCAGCACATAGTTTGTGTGCTTCCTAATCACAATTCTAAAATATTAACGTCATTATGCATACATTAATTTGAAGGAAAATGATTAAAAGAACATTTTGGAGTAATGGGGAAAGCATGAGTATTGGAAGAAGGTAGAGCTAGATCTGAATCTTGTGTGGCCCTAAGTAAGTTACTGAATTAGGAATATGTGGGAGAATAAAACCTACCTTTTAAGGTTGTTTTACTGGTTAGATTAAATGCTCTGGGCTAATCAGCACCAATACAGACATAAAAATAAACTTTAAAAGAAATGTTTGTTTCTTTGTCTATGTCTAGATCAAGACATAGCTTAAGAAAATGGGCCCTAAAATGGCCTTCCCATTATATTGAAGGCATCAAATATTAAAAATTATATTGAATATTTAAAAAATTATATTGGGTATTTAAAAATTATATCAAAGGCATGGAATATTTAAAAAATTGACTAGCTTCAACTGCAGCGAACTTACCAGCAATTTTTGAATGTCTACATTCTAGCATTGGTCTTATGCTAGGATGGAAGAAATATTAATAAAAGTAGTAGTATAAAATGGTGTTTATCTTCAAAATTGCTTACGTTGTCATTTCTTTATTTTTTTTAGCAGTTTTTGCTGTTATAGATTGAATTTTTTTCCACTCCCCACAGGAAAGCTTAGATATGCCAACAATAGCAATTACAAAAATGATGTCATGATCAGAAAAGAGGTAAGTTCTTTTGGAATGTCTAATTGTTACAGTTAGCCATTTTCCTTATGTCTGTTGAATTTACAAAAGTATATATAAGGCTGTATTGTAAAGAAGAAGCCAATTTATGTGTTGAAAAGGAATTCTGCTTAAATTAGATATCATTGTACCATCTGTAACAATAAAAGAAGCAATCTGAATATATTAAGCTGTAGTCCCACATTTGAACATATCATTTAATTCATTTTATAATTAATTTGTCTTTTTACTCACTATTTAAAATGATAATCATGATTTAAGCACATTAAGAATTTTAAATGAAAGGCTTAAAAGTTAGGGATAAGAAAAAGTTCAGTCACTATGATGTGTACTTTGTCTCTGTTCAACTCATAGATTTTTTTGTTGTCACCATTAACCACTTGGAGAGATTTGAGTCCCATGTTACCAGGACAGAATACAGGTTTTAAAAGGGAGCTAAGTGATGTGAAGAGTGAAAAGAAAGGGCAAGAGAGTGAAGAAATATGATAAGAAGGATGAATGATTCTAGCTGATGTTATACTTTGGAATCAGAATTAAATTTTTCTTTGATATTCTCTTTTAATAGTTAGGGTTTGTAACTCCATTTTATCATTTCCTTCTGAGTCGTGGGAAGAAATAGAGAGGCATCATGAAATTTTATTACAACTTATTTTCAGGCTTATGTACACAAGAGTGTAATGGAAGAACTGAAGAGAATTATTGATGACAGCGAAATTACAAAAGAAGATGATGCTTTGTGGCCTCCCCCTGACAGGGTTGGCCGACAGGTTTGTATATAATGATTCTTTAAATGCATAAATATTAAAATTGATAATATCATTGTTATGTTTCTCCTTATTTATTTATATTAGCCACTCATTGATTCCTTAGTTTTCTATTTTAGACTACTTTTCCAACTGGTAAATTTTCTTTTTCTTTTCCTCATTTTCTGTGCTACCTCCTAGTAGTAAAGGAGTTGATATATAGCTCTAAATTTAGACATCTTTCTGAACAGTCTTCTATAGCCACCCCAGGATGTTTTCACACTGTTGTGAGTAATTTCTATTACATGTTAATTACTTTTTTTTAGGAATAAGTATAGGTATCTGTTAAATTTGGGATTTAAGTTTTTCATTGACTATGTAACATTTCCTTTATAACTTTGAAAACTCTTATTTTCATCTCTTGCCCCAGAGAGGGATTTGATTGGTTTCTTTGTTCAAGCTGACCACTGCCTTTGCCTCTTATACTCTCTTCAGAGTAATTGATGTATCTCAGAGGGCTTCTGAAGAGTTCTGAAGGCTGATTTCACTCAGTAGAAAGATAGTTTGATTCCTAAATTGGGCTTTTCAACGCTTGGAGAAAAGAGATAATGACCCTTGGAGGAAGAAACATTTAATTTCACTTTTGTTTGTAACACCTTCGACTAGAAGAAAATGTGGAGAAATCTTACAGATGTTGACCCTCTGTAGTAGTAATTTAACTCTTCTATTTAAAGAAACATTATTTAGGAAGCAAACATAATAGTTAATAGTATTTATGCATTGCAAACACTTTTAAAAAGTAAATTTAGATCTGTTTGTTTTATGCATATGTGCATATGTACAAAAAACAGAAACAATAAGTAGTAAACTGTATATCTCTTTTATACTCACGGCCAATCTAGTTTATCGACCCACTTGAGGATGTGGTTTTGTGTTTTGGTTATTGGGGAGGATTAGACATGCTTCAGAAATTGTCTGTCGGTCTTTAAGTCTTCTGATCAGCCTTCAATGGCATCTGTTATTTAACTTGAAAAATGACCACAGATATAGTCTCTTATTTGTTGGTTTTAGGTTTGCAGATAAAATATAGGGAAAAAATTATACAATAATTATGGCACACTGGGAACATCTACATTATGTTATGTTTAATTTAATAGTTTTTAATTTTGATGTTTTGTGAAGTCGAAGTGTATCAATCTTTCAGTCTTACAGTTCACGATTCAAATATCCTATATAATAAAAGCCTAATATGCAAATCGACCAAACAGTGGAATGACTAGTGGAACGACCGGTCACTATGATGCACACTGACCACCAGGGGGCAGATGCTCAATGCAGGAGCTGCCTCCAACCTGCAGGCCCCAGGCCAGCCAAGGCAGGTTACAGCAGGGGCCCCAAATCTCCCTGCCGGTCGCCCTGCAGAGGGAGGCAACTGGCAGTGGTGGCGGGGGGTGGAGCCAGCGAGCAGGTGGCACCAGGTCGGCCAAAGCAGGTGCCAGTGGGGGCCCCCCACCACCCCACTGGTTACCCCACAGATCGGCCCTGATCGCCGACCAGGCCTAGGGATCCTACCCATGCACGAATTCTGTGCATCGGGCCTCTAGTCAGTTTATAAACAAGTTTTTTCCTATGCTTTCTGAGTCTTGGATTTCATAGTTGTAAAAGTAGTCGAATAAAGCCTATTTGATAAGCGTATTTTAGGGATTACTGATAATATTAAAGTAGTACTATTATTAATATTATGCATTTTATTTTTAGAGCCTGGTAAAAAGGGTAAATGTGTTTTTATTTATTATATTATAAGTAAGCGTAAAACCGTATTATTTTTACAACATTGTGCTTCAAAGTGATGCCTTTAATGTTTACTTGATGTAAGAAATAATTGTGTGTCACTTTTAAGTATGTCATTCATTTTTTAGTATATTTATTAGATCTTTGCAGAGTAATTTTGGTAGTCAGTACTGGGGGACTCCTGTGCAGGTGTTGAAGTTCTTATTGTTTTATTTTATAGACACAGTTTATGTCTAACAGATTATGTCCCACCTGCCCTTCTCTATTATTGTTAGAAAACCTGCAGCTAAAATTGGGACCCCCTTAGTATCAAGAATATAGATATCTCTGGGATGGATTTCTATATGTAATTATATTTCTTTATTTTCTTCAGGAGCTTGAAATTGTAATTGGAGATGAGCACATTTCTTTTACTACATCAAAAATAGGTTCTCTTATTGATGTAAATCAGTCAAAGTGAGTATGTTAAAGCATTTTCACTAATGGATAAAATTTATTAGAGAGGTTCATTTTAGAACTATAGCAAGTTTGCTAAGATTATTTCATTGGCACCCTGTCTGTTTATTATACAGATGAAATTCTGATTTTTATGTCATTAAAGACTTGCTGTCAAAGAAGGTAGCAGTGTATTGATTTACAAAAAAAAAATCTTAATCTGATAACTATGAATAATAATGCCCAAGTTTTATTCCCTACTTTGTAAAAAAATCTGGACACTCACAAAATTTAAAAGAAATTGTTATTGCATATCAGCCTCCTTCGCTCCACATCACATCATTCTCCTTCTTGGATTTAATCTTCAGATGAATAAAAAAAAAATTCAGTATAGCTTAATGGCTTTAGCTAGGTATGTCTTCCCAATTTGTGTTTCCCTGTCTGTTTTTGCCTGAAAAATCCCTCTGCATTTCTTTCCACTCTTTACCTTTATTTTTATTTTATTTTTTTCACTCTTTACCTTTAAAATGTCCTCCTGGTGTCCTTTTTTTCCTATCACTCTAAATTGTATTAACTTATTTGTTTGCTTTACTGGTTTGTGTGTAAGCTCCATGAGAACCTTGTGTATTTCCAAAATTAGCACAGTGCCTGGCACATAATAGAGACTTTATGAATATTTATTAGAGGGGAGAGGAATGAATGCCTAATTACTATTGGGTATAAAAGGCTATGTTCATAAAGACTGACCAGATACTTTTAAATTATCAAATTTTTTTCCCATAGTTGGTGAGGGTATGGCATTCATACCCTACTGGGATTATAAATTGGTACATGTTTTTTAGAAAGTAATTTGATAATTTGCTACAAAAGCCATCAATATTTCATTAAATTTTCACCCATCTTCACTGTAGTAATTTCATTTCTGAGTGTCTATTCTGTGAAAATATTCTCAAACTGGAAGCATGAAATTCATGCAATCGGTGGCCTGCACCCTCTCACAGTCTGGTACCCCTCGGGGGATGTCTGCCTGCCGGCTTAGGCCCGCTCCCCATGGGGATTGGGCCTAAGCTGGTAGTCAGACATCCCTCTTGCAGTCTGGGGCTCTTGCAGTCCGGGACCCCTTGCTCCTTACTGCCCACCTGCAGTGGAGTGCACTGACCACCAGGGGGCAGCTTCTGCATTGAGTGTCTGCCCCCTGGTGGTCAGTGTGCATCATAGCGACCGGTTGTTCTGTCATTCGGTCGATTTGCATATTAGGGTTTTATATAGGACAATGAAAAAGCTTTATTATTCATAAAGATGGTCATTGAACCCTTATTTATAATTGGAAAAATGTCCAAATGTCTAATAAGGAGAGAATTGTTAACACATTGTATGCGGGAAACGTATTTATACGTTTTACGTTCACTGTAAGAAGTAGAGCCACCTGTTAGCGCGCGATAAAAACTACCTGCAAACAATGTGTTAAATTGATTAAAAATTATTTGTGAGTTCTTTTTAATGTAATGGGGAAAGTAATGTTAAAAAGGGCACAGGGAATAATTTTCCCTAGCTGGTTTAGCTCATTGGATAGAGCTTTGGCCTGTGGACTGAGGGTACAGGGTTTGATTCTGATTGAGGACACGTACCTTGGTTGCAGGCTTAATCCCTGGCCTTGGTCAGGCACGTGTGGGAGTGTCTCTCTCACATCCATGTTTCTCTCTGTCTCTCCCCATCCTTCCACTCTCTAAAAATCAATGGAAAACATATCCTCAGGTGAGGATTAACAACAATAAAAAAGGGCACAGGGATTATTTTAATTAGTAAAGAAAATAGAGAAACACCAAAATGTTTATAGTTATTCTGTGAAAAGTGACATTATATAGTATTATGAACATTATTTTTTTAATCTTTATAATTTTATCTGCTTTCTACATTTTTGTGATGCATTGCTATTATAAGAAAATAAACACTTTAAATATGAAATACTGGTAAAGAAAATTTTTTATTTTTTCTCTTACAGAAAAGATGCATTCCTTTAATTTAATTGTTTTAGATTTTTGTTTTGTTTTAGGAATTAATTTATAGAATTATGTTGTTGCATTTTAGGAGCAAAAAAGTAACTTTTATCTCTTTCAATTTTAGGGATCCTGAAGGTCTTCGAGTATTTTACTATTTGGTACAGGACCTGAAATGTTTAGTTTTTAGTCTTATTGGATTACATTTCAAGATTAAACCTATCTGAATTATGCTTTTTGTAGCTATTTTTATATTTAATTAAGGGATGAGTAAGGGAGTGTTTATTTGTCATTTATAATATTGGGATTTCTATGAATGTGAAGCAAACAGATTTTTTTTTAATGCAAACTGAAAATAAGAAAATACGTAAACAGGCTTAATGCTTATTTTTACTGGTGTCCAAGAGGGTTGGACAGCCCCCACACGCATTGAATTCTGTAAATAAAAGCCACTTTTGCTGAAATTTTGTTTCAATAAAACTTACCAAACCTGGATGGAGAGTGCTTTCTTTCAGGAGACTGTGTCTCTTGCCATTTAAAGATAATAAAAATTGTTGTAGGAGGTACATGTGTTGGCAGAAATTCTTTCAGGTAGGAATATGTATCCAGAATAAAGGTATCAGGCACATTATAGGCAAAAAATTAAAAAAAAAAAAAAGATAAAGGCAATTGTAGATCTTTCCTTATTTCTTCCATACCTGATGGGATTTAAGGTTTTGGTAAGTATAGAGGTTGTTCACAGAAGGCTCTGGGTTTTTTTCTTTGTTTTTTTACGTTTATCACAGATTCTTATTCACATGTAAATGTTTTTGGTATAAGCAGTGATTTCCTCAAGGATTACAAAGGTAAAGTCAGTATCCCAAGTTAGGCACATGCACATCTTGTATTATGCTCTTATTCCTTATTTCACAAATACATATTTGTATCTCTGTTGGAACTAAATGAGTTCTTAGCTTAAAAAAAATTTAGACTTAAATGTGTACCTATATATTTATATTTTAACTCCCAGTGAACACAGGTCCCACTCATATTTCCCAGTTCTCTTCAACCTTTGCCTATAGATTTGACCTTTCATTTCTTCTCCTGTCAGTAACCATGCCCTAGTATTCTGTTACTCTTTAAAAATGTGTAGTCCTGTTAGTATGAACCACCTGCCCCAGGGACCAGTCGGGCCTGACCTTAAGGTGAAGAATTAGTCTCAGCAGTCTTGCCTGGACTCCTGAGCAGCTAGACAAGAGCAACTCTGTCCAGTAAACTTCTTTGAGATTATAGAAATATTCTGTGACTGTATAGTGCATTAGTGGCCACTAGCTACTACATGTGGCTACTGAGTACTTGAGATTTGTCTAGTGTAACTGAGTTTATTAGAAGACATTTTTTCCAACATTGTGCTATGAAAATTTTCAGACAATTATAAAATGAACATTCATATGCCAATCTAGATTCTATAATTGAATTTTTTGAACTGTAATAAGTCTTATAATAAATCATATCCTGTTGCTGATTTTTCACTTAAGGGTAGACTACCTGTTATAATTGGTGCCAATAGACGACTTTTCTTTAGTGCTATTTAATGTTGGTTAAATTTAGATAGTCACATGTGGCTTGAAGCTACCCTTTGGACAGTAGCTCTAGAGCATGGCTTGGTAGCCTGTTTGCCATGGAGTGCTCTCTGGTCCTTTACATTGCATGAAAATGCATGGCCATCTTCACAGTTGCCATGGAAAGTCACCTGATCTCCACTGTGTAAGACCACTTTATCACCTTTAGGTTCCTTATGCGAAAATAAACATTTCTGCTCAAGATGTAGACCTCGAGACTTCGAAAGAGCCTCCCTCTGACATCTCGGCCACCAACATGCCATCCAGACTGAGGAAGACCTGGGAACTTCGGGGCTACGTGAGCCATGGCCAGAGCTGCATTGGCAAGCACACGAAGCACCCCGGGGGCCGAGTAATGCTGGTGGCTTGCATCATCACAGGATCAACTTCGACAAATACCACCCAGGCTACTGTGGGAAACTTGGTATGAAGCATTACCACTTAAAGAGGAACTAGAGTTTCTGCCCAACTGTCAACCTAGATAAACTATGGACCTTGGTCAGTGAGCAAACTCGGTAAATGCCAAAAACAAGACTGGAGCTGCTCCTATCATTGATGTAGTGCGATTGGGCTACTTCAAAGTTCTGGAGAAGGGAAAACTCCCAAAGCAGCCTGTCATTGTGAAGGCTAAATTCTTTAGCAGAAGAGCTGAGGAGAAGATTAAGGGTGTTGGTGAGGCCTGTGTCCAGGTAGCTTGAAGCTACATGGAGAGAAGTTCATTAAAATGTCCACAAGAGAAAAAAAAAAGATGTAGACCTCGATGGATATGCAGTATAAGATCATTTTATAATTCTCTTAACACTTAGCTGTCAGAAAAAGGGAGAAACAATCACTCTTTGAGCCTCATGTAGGCCCACAATTTTTGGTTGTGCCTCAAAATAGTCTTTATTCTGTGGCTCCAGTTGAATAAGTTGATCCACTAAAGACTGAGCAAGGTTGGGGAGAAATAGTTCTTAATTAAAAAAATCTTTAACATATTAACACTTTGTCCCCATTCTCTAACTTCCCTGTAGTGCTGATTTATTTATACTCTATCCCCACTGCCTCTAAATTCTTATATTCAAACCAAGATTGGTCATTAGGATAAATGTTTTATATTGTCTCTGATTTTCTTATACCTATTTGAACTGGCTCTTGATTGTAAGCTGCTGGTAGACAATGATCATTAAAAATTGAATTTTGTGCAACATTAGTTTTATGAGAAACAATTTTTATAGTACTTGGGTCAGCAGAACCTTGTCCCCACCCCAGTGTCCCATAATAAAGGAGTACTTTGCAATAAGCAAACATCTATTCCAAGTGTTGGTTCAGCAACCCCTCTCTCCTTTTGCCCCTTCATGGGATATAGTGTCACTACTCAGCATTTAGCAGTCTTTCCCACATAGTAGGTGCTTTGTAAAAGTTAATTGAACAGGTTGTCTTACTGCCTTCAGATTATTTTTCTTTATAACAATCTGAGATGGGAGATTTTAATTTCTATTGCTATGGAAACCATTTCGATTACCATGAATTTTGCATATGTGCATACTTATACTGTATATTCAAACACACTGAATAGGTTGTGTCTTGAATGTGGCCTAAATGTGATACTGATTTCTCATATATAGTGTGAGTAGAACAGTTTAACCTTGATCAACCAAAGCAACAAATACAGCACAGCAAGAGGACTGGTGAGAAACAAGATTATCTGGCAGGCTTTACGCTTCTATTTTATTTGTTTATATATTTTTATTTTGAGTTTCTAGGTTTTGTGCCTCTGCTTCTTAAAACTAAGAGTGTAGCCAGACATTTCAAGTTCATTCACATGGACATTTTAAATATGAATATAAATGATAGCTGAGATTATCTTATATAATAAAAGGCTAATATGCAAATCGACCAATGGGGAATGACCGGTTGCTATGATGCACACTGACCACCAGGGGGCAGACGCTCAATGCAGGAGCTGCCCCCTGGTGGTCAGTGCACTCCCACAGGGGGAACGCTGCTCAGCTAGAAGCCTTGAGCCGGGCTCACAGCTGGCGAGCACAGTGGCGGTGGCGGGAGCCTCTCCTACCTCCACAGCAGTGCTACGGATGTCTGACTGCTCAGGGAAGTGGGCCTAAGCCATCAGTCGGACATCCCCCGAGGGTTCCTGGACTGCGAGAGGGTGCAGGCCAGGCTGAGGCGCCCCCCACCCCCAATTGCATGAATTCGTGCACCTAGCCTCTAGTTTTATATAACCTATTAGACTACTTTATTTTGACTTGAAATGTATGAGACTGTGAACATAGGTTATGCTATAAGTTCAACCTCTGATCCGTATGATTTTTTTCAAAGACTTTTACTTAGAGCAGTTTTAGCTTCACAGCAAAATTGAGAAGAAGGTACAGAGATTTCCCATATACGCCTTCTCCTCCACACATACATAGTCTTCCCCATTATCAACATCTCCCACCAGAGTGGTACATTTGTTACAGTTGGTGAACCTTCACTGACACATAATGATCACCCCAAACCCACAGATTACACTAAAGTTCATTCTGGTGTATATTCTATGGGTTTGGACAAATGTATAATGACATGTATCTTTCATTATAGTATCATACAGTGTTTTCACTGCTCTAAAGTCTTCTGTGCAACACCTATTCATTTCTCCCTACTGTCAGCCCCTGGCAACCACTGATCTTTTTACTGTCTTCATAGTTTTATCTCTTCCATGATGGTATATAGTTGGAATCATATGGTATGTAGCATATTCAGATGGACTTTTCACTTAGTAATTTATATATATAAAAGCCTAAGCAACCAAACGACCAGTCGGCCAGTTGCTAACACACGCACTGACCACCAGGGCACAGATGCTCACTGCACAGGATTGGGCTCCTTCCTGTCTGGATTGGGCCTGCAGGGATCAGGCCAAAACCAGCTATCCGACATTCCCTGAGGGGTCCCAGATTGTGAGAGGGTGCAGGCCAGGCCGAGTGACCCCACTGGTGCATGAATCCATGCACTGGGCCTCTAGTACACATATAAGTTTCCTCATGCCCTTATGGCTTGATAGCTCATTTCTTCTCAGTGCTAAATAATATTCTGCTGTCTGGATTTATCACACTTTATCTCTCCACCTATGAAAGTTGCATGCTTTAGTTGCATGGTTGCTTCTAAATTTTGGCAATTGTGAGTAAAGCTGCATAAGCATGCAGGTTTTTGAGTAAATTTTAAGTTTATTGACTATTTTAATAATCTGTTTTCTAGCATTGCATGGTAATGAGCTGGAATAGAACATCCCCTGCAAAAAATTAATAAAAATAAACAGGAAAGGTAAATGAGTGCTTTGAGGGTGAAGTTAGTGTCTGAACTATGTGATACTTTGGCAAGAATATTGAAGAATCAAAATTCTTAATTATGGCACTGCTTCACAGAACTATTTTCTCTTTTAACCTGTGAATAGACTCTATCCCTTAGTTGCACAAAAAAGAAATAGTCATCTGAAAATCCCTTTGGCCATTGTCATTATTATTTTTTGTTAATCCCCACCCAAGGATATTTTTTCATTTTTAGAGAGAGTGGAAGGGAGGGGGAGAAAAGAGAGAGAAACATCGATATGAGAGAGATACATCGATTGGTTGTTTCCTGATACCATGACCAGGGATCGAGCCTGCAACTGAGGTACATGCTCTTAATGGGAATTGAAGCTGGGACCCTTCAGTTCTCAAGCCAATGCTCTACCCACTGAGCCAAACTAGGTAGGGCTGGACATTATTTTTTCATACTTATTTCTTGAGGTTGCACTCTCATTTAGCTACTTAGAGATTGAAGGAAAGATGGTTACTGTTTGACTGCTAAGGCTAGGTAGGACAATTTAGAGGATTTTTACTCTCCAGTAGTAAAATAGCATTTATTTATTTAT